GTAAGTAATTGACCTGGGGCTTCTTTTCTGGGTCATTCAGTCACTCCACGTGACAAATTTTTAAAGAATTATCAGGAGAACATATGGTTTTACTACCCTGTCTTAAAAAGTCCATTTTGTAGAAGATAAGAGATGGTGTCATTATGAAATGGAAATGCTTGTTCAGCCAGGGAGCAGAGCAATACAGCTTAAAGTAAAACTGTACTTGCTAAATCTTTGATCCAGATATGTCTCAATTGCTTTCAGTATCTTTTTATTCATTCGTTTTCTGTTATGGAAAGGAAATTGATATATTTTCCCATCTTATTTTCCATACAAAAAAGCAAAAAAATGCTGAATAACTTTATGATTAACACATAGGATGCCTGCCTTTGCTATTCGTCTTTCTAACTGCATTTTTTCAGGAGCACTCTCATGTTTTTATTCGATAGTCTTTTTGAATTCATGAGTTTGTGCATAAAAGTGGAAAAAACCTCAACACCAAACTATACCAAAAGGGAGGGTATTTTCCTCTAGCCTGACATATGTATTTCATCACAATAAAAGATGAACCAAAGCATTCCACATTTCTTTATGAATTTCTTCTGATGACAGAGGTTTCTTAGACACTAAGGGGTATTTAGTTAATAATCTGACAGCAGAAAAGTAGCACAGGAAGCACAAATAACTGCACATCTAAATATTTTTGCCAGTTTGCTCAAACAGCTGACCTGTAAGAACCTGATAATTGACCTGACAGCTGTAAGAAGTAATGTGAAATTGTACAGTTATCCATAGATTTCTTTTTAGGCTTGTGAGGGTTTGATTTATATACACTAACATTATCTTGTTTAAAGTATTAAAAATATGAACCACAATAAGGACAAAGTTAGGTCTCTCTTTATTGGAATTGAGACAAAAGTCTTAAGGCAAACTCAGGACTTGTATTTTTGGAAGCAGCCTGTCTGTCAGCATGCTTAGTGAGACTGTTTGTAATAGCCTAAAGCCAACTAACCTGTTGTAATAAAATGCTGTTCATTTTCTCTTATCCTTGACAGTGTTTTGCTCAAAAGCATAGGAAGTAATTAAGAAGTAGAATGTCTTTCATCTTCAGAGGAACTGGGGTGATGGCCATAACAGGGTGAGAGTGGGTTGCAGTTGGGTAGAAGTTCTGATAGGATATGGATTTTCAATATGCATAGCTCTCCATGTCAGCAGAATCAAGTCATTACAGTTTTCTGTGACATTCATAACTAATTTAATGGAAGTCCTGATATAATATGCTATTTAAGCCATACCCATTTTGTAAGTGAAGTCTCAGTTCAAATGACTGTGGCAATGTATTTTTATTTTCAACATGGGCTTTTTGACTTCGTACTGTGTTGCAAAGTCATTTACTATAAATGTGCATTTCATAAAGGACTGATTGGGGATTATTAAGAGCTCAAATAAAACTAAAGAAAGAAAAATATTTGCTGTAATTGTGTTATCTGTTGTTCCATTTTTTTCTCAAAAGGGTATATGCATCCTTGAAAGTTATTCTATTGTGGTTAGTCACATAAAGCATTTCAAGAATAAGACAAAGGAACTGAACTCTTCAATTGAACATGACATGACCACACTGTGCTTTTGTGCCTCCACAGGCTTGGGGTACAAGTGACACTTGACAGAATGCTACAGAGAGTTCCCAGGAACTACGTAATAATTCAGTACATAGAGGATTGACCTTGGTCATCTCCTTATAAAGCTCTTCTTTTCATGGGAATCACAGAAAGGTTTGAGTTGGAAGGGACCTTGGAGATCATCCAGTTCCAACCCCCTGCTGTTGACAGGGACACCTTCCACTATCCCAGTCTGCTCACAGCCACATCCAGTCTGGCCTTGAACACTTCCAGGGGTGGTGGGGGGTGGTATCCACAGCTCCTATGGGGAACCCATGCCAGAGTCTCACCACCTTCTCAGGAAAAGTTAGATTTCCCTAAAATTAATATAAATCTCTCTTCTGTTCATGATATTTTTAATGCAGAGAACCTTTATCTCTGAGGCTAAATTGCAGATTTATATTGCAATCTTCATTAAGTATAGTTTCATTTTGAGAATTCAGGCCTTCTTTTACCTCTCAGTTATTTAGATGTAAAAAATATTTACCAAAGAAAACCAAAAACCTGACATATGTATTTCATCATAGTAAAAAATGAACCAATTTGAAGATGAAACCGTTGCAGATTCATCACTTTCTTCTTGAAATCATTTAAAGGTTCTTGCTGCTGAAAACCAAATAATTGTGTCACCTTGAAGTCTATGAAGATAACTGAGGAGATGACAGGAGATAAGATAAAAGTCAATAAAAAGAGAATAATTTATTAAAAAGATCTAATGTTACAAGAACAGTACACAGAAACTATTATATTACTGTGTCTTCCACACTGTATATACCATTATATATAGCATATATACAGATTGTATACAATATATCTAACATTTTGATATGGGCCATGACAGTAACTTTCTTTTGGTCTGTGAAACAAGGTTTCTTTCTAATTATTTTTTTCTGAACAGATCCTGTGACATTATACAAAAATACAGCCTCCTCAGTGACTCTAGACTGCACTATTACAATCTTTTACATGAAAAAGGAAAAAGCTTTCCCTTGCAAAAAAGAAATGTCATGATAAGGAAACATCTTCTACAAAGTAACAAATAGGTAATACATAGGTACTTAAACATTTAAAACATGTTTATTAATATATTTAAGATGCAAAATACATATTCTGTTCATGTTGAATATAAAACATACCTCCTTTTGTCCCTGCAATACAACTACATTACCTGATGGTATGTTCAGTATTTCTATTTGTATCTTCATACTAGAGAGGGAGATGTGTCTAGATGGAGCTCTGTCTCCTTATCAGACTTTTATTCTTCCTATTAAGCATATCCATTTATTGTTAGAAAGTTTAACCAAATGCCATCAGCAGTGAATGTAGCCTTTTTGAATACTCTGAAATAAACTGCATTGGCAAGCAACTGTATAAAAAAATAGAGGAAATTATGCCTAACTAATTTATAAAATAGTCATTTGACTTTTTGGTTCATCACTTTGTTCTTATTTATTTTAACATTTTGGCAGATGATGGATTGCTGATGCAGGCACTCTGCACAGTAGCAATGCTGCTGTTTTACAAGGGACAGCAGGTAGTTACTCTATGAGTTTGCTCTATCAGCAAGGTACATTACACCTTCCTGTCTTTGATCTCAAAGGCTTTTCCAGAAGCAGAGATATAAAAGGCTTCTTCCTCTATATCTGCAGTCAATTCTTAGCTAGCTATCCTGCCTTTGTTTTCTGAGCAACATGGTGACTTAAGTAATTTTAAACACTGTTTTTTAGAAAATTATTTCAAATATTAGTGGGTAACAAAGATTTGAGTTGAACCTTCTCTGAAAAATTTTTCTGATAAAATATTCAAAAGCAAAAATATTTAGTCATCTTCAGCTTCTCACCTTTTTATGTCTGTTGTGCTTTCTTGGCTACTGTTTTGAAACAGCTGAGAAAGAGCACAGTTGCAGTGTATTATCTAAATGCCAAAAATTATTTTGCTAGTGAACAGGCAAAATAATAGCATTTTGAATTGGGAACCCATCAGCTAAAATAGGTTTTCATCAAAACTTTTAGAGGGATAGACAACTAGAAGAATCATGCTACTAGGACTTCCATGTTAACCATTTTTGACTTGATTCTTCCCAGGCAGTGCAATGTTTTTCCTAGGCATGATCCCCAGATATGTTAGCAAAATGCCACCCTTCGTAACACTGTGCACACCAAGATAGAACAAACATGCACACCATCTTCCCTGGAAGTAATTTTTCCTCAGGTTCCAGTATGTGGGAAGGCCTTTCAGTGTAGAAAAATTGTCCAAATTGTCTATTGAGTAAAAAATTGTCTGGTACAGAAAAAATGGGGATTAAAACTGATAGCACACAGTACGTACAAGAATAATCTCCAGTGAGCTATAGAAATAGAACCAATTAGATAAATAATTGGAATGATGCTCTGTAGCACCTTTCCAAGTAATTTTTTCTCAGAAGCAAAGTTCTCCAAAATATATCCTACTGCAATCTGTATATATGTGGATAATGCCATCCTGAAAAATGTTAATATTCTCTTCATAATATGCTTTCACATATACTTCAACTTGAGTACGACCTATACAAAGCATAGAATGCTACCAGAAATTGGACTCGGAGGAAAAAGGAAAAGAGGAAGTTACAACTGAGAAGTGGTTGGGAAAAGTAGGTTTATCTCCTTGCATTGCTTTATTTGTCTACTTAGTAGCTTAATGTATACCATATTTCAATGTCCAGTGGAATTTTCATTGTCATATGCAGTAGGAACTGATTTCTTATTTTCTACTGAAAATTTCATTGGACAAGAAATCTTGTGGCATTTGCTAAAAAATTACTGGTTTCCTCCTAAGTTGTGTTTAATAATTTTCCATTTACCTGGTAATAAAATAAATGGATTTTCTGCTCCATTTTGCTACATTCTGGGGTAAGCTGTCTAGTATTTAACTGACAATTCTTTTTGCTAATTGAATACATATTATATATTTTCAGAACAAGTTCTTTACATTTGCAGTGGTTTTTGTATATAAACTGTGTTTTTCTTCCTTGTCATTAGGAAAAACCATTTATCAGGGATGCAAGCAAAGTATTCAAAAGCAAAGCTTATCAAACTTTGTTCTATATTCAAAAAAGGATTTTTTTTCTCCAAACCATACAGGTGTACTGTATTAGACACCACCCCTTAAACACCTAATGATACATGACTGGGTTTACCAAATTTGAACATATTAAAAAAGGAAAATACATTTGACAGAAATTACCTTTGCTTACAAAAGTTTATTACATACAATCTGCATATTTTTGGGCCAAAAAGGGTCTCCTCCTCAGAGGACTTTTACAAATAAAGTAAGAGATAAAAACCTGATGAATTATTGACCGTGTCTCCAACACTCCTCTAAGTGCACCACAGGCATTTTGATGGGTCTTTAATCATTAGCTTGGGTTTTCAGTTTCTCCACGGACATAAAACTCCATCCCTTGGTGTCATCAAGCTAGAGCAAACAAATAACAACAACAACAAAGTCTGCAGCCTTCACCATGAGGTCGAAGGTACCATCAGTGCCAAAAGCAATGTTACAGAGGATGACGAAGTAGACAACACATGTAAGGTGGACTGAGCACTTGTTACTTTCCCTCCTGAAATGAAAAACAAAGTAATTAAGAAAAAAATGATGCAAATTATTCTCAGTACATTTAGATATTAGCTTCTGCCCAAACTTATATTCTATTACTCTCAGCAAGAGACTAATTTTTAGGCAATGGGTTACCGTGTGAGAACTGTAGTCACAAAACGGGCTCCCTGCACAGATGAGATTTTATGACAATACCTACAGCAGCTCACTGGAGCTATAGGATCCTCATATTCAGTCTGCTATTTAATAGGAAATTCCAGAAGGGTGTACAGTTTTGTGTCTTAATCTTAAAAAAAAGCATTAGGTTGCAGAAGCTGCCCTGGGTCACAAATCTTTGTCCCAGAACAAGGAATGAAAGCCAGCCCGTGATCCCTCTGCTAGTCCAGAGGAAAAGGTGGCCTTTGGCCCATTAGTGCGGTGTTGATTTTTGACCACAGTGGTGTCTTAAGAGGCCATGCTAAGGGGAACTGTGCTCTGGGATGGTAGTGGCAACTATGGGAAGGGAACCAGACTGGGGGTTTTTTGGACAGCGATTGTCCTAAGTGAAACTAATGTGATATGCATAGTCTAATTAGATGGAGGACTTTGTGGCCTAGAATTATGGTTCTAAAGATACACGAAAAAAATATTCCATGGAGGAGGGCTTGGTGTCTTCTGCATTCTGATATTAGCACTGCAGTTTGTAGCCAGACTAGAGCTGAAATTGTAGTTCTACTTTGAAGTTCAGGCTCACACCTTTTGCTTAGTGCTCCTTAAGGACCAAAAAGCAATATTTAATAAAACTTTAAAGTGTTATCAGAAGGTTCTAATTAAAATGCCTTGTTCTGTTTAGGCAAAGATTATGTTATTTCTTCGTTGTTCTTTCCACTAATCCTCCTATCCCTTACCTACCTTTGTAATATTGATACTTTAAATCCTTTCAACATACTACAGCAACTGAGGAGAGAGCAGATAGATATCATGATTTACCTAATGATAACACTTTAATACTGCTATAAGTTAATAATTAAATAAAGTAATAATTATGCAAGGGAGTCACTGGAACTTACAGTGAAATTCAGCTTACTCTCAAGCAGGCATGTACACAGGGGTCAGCTACCTAAATACATGCCACTTCAACTGTGTCACGTACACCTCTGGCTGGTGGTGCAGAATGATGTGTGTATCCCCTAAATCCCACATCCCTTCTGCCTGCTCTGTTTGGGATGCCTTAGGACATTGAAGATGTCCTTAGGCACTTGTGCCTTAATACTAAAATTCAGAAGATTAGCTGAATTGCTGTCAAGGCTCCACTGCTGGTCTCTGTGGATTGCATCACAGCTGACTATATTGCTATTTGAGACACCAGTGCACATATAAACATCTATAGCTCAGGTAGGTTTTTAGATGTCATCCTCAAAAGGGAGAAATTTCCTATAAATCATCTTTGTGCATCAGCCTCACATGGTTGCCTCAGATGATCTTAAACATCCCATGTATAATTAGATACCTTTGTTTCAGCATAGAACTAAAGGTTCAGATCAGCTATTTTATTTAATAGCTAAAGAATTGTGAGAAAATTTTTTTTCTGGTAGAGAATAACAGAGTTAATGAGTATTACTATAATCACCACACTTTCAAATGTAAGTGTAACTTTACCTGAAAAAGATGGAACTCTGATCTGGGGACTTGCAGTCCCATCCCCTCCTTCACTGACTGCACAGACCTCAATGATGTAGACCCCAACATCAGGAAGAAGTACCACTGCAGATGTTTTCTGTGTTTCTATAACCTGGCTATTGCTCTGGCCCTCTTGCCGAAATAACACCTGTGGTGGATAAAGCAGACAGTGGTCACAGTGGTCATTCTGTGGCTCTGTAGCAGACATTTTGTATAGATGTCACTATGCAGTCACTGCAATGTTCACTGTTTCATGCTTTCATTAGGGATTTCCTGACATTGCATTTCAACAGTTTGCTTTTACTCTTCCTGTCCTGCAGTGGCTTCAAAACGGTAATAGCAAAATATTATAGAGATCCATGGATGTGAAAGGACACAGGTTATGACCTAGAGCAAGGACAGAGGACTTGCCCTCTCCAGCACTAGGTGTTGCACAACTTTATCTCCAAAATTTAAAAATTTATTTTGAATTCCACTTGGTTCAAGTTCTTATCCCAAAGTTCATCTTGATATTCACATTTTTGGCTCAAGAACCCAACTTCAAACGGAAGGAAAATAGCCTGAATAATGTATTTACTGTGTTTACCTTAGCTAGCTAAATCAACTGACGACAGCTCAGATATGTCGCTGCATTTGCTGTGAAACTCAATACAAATTTATGGCATGTGGGAGGAAAGCAAGGCAGCATGTAGCTGTCTTTTTGGTATTTCTGCATAAGAGTTTCTGTTCCCAGAGAAAATTGAAAAGGTCAGAGAGGTGTGAAAAACCAAAGAAGTCAACTCAACTGTTTCAGAATATCAACTATTCTGATAAAGGTTAGAACAGTTTCTGGTTTATTTGGGCCATTTCATACTTTCTCAGTGATATTTCCTGATGTATCTGTGGAGATATAAGTTTATAGTCTATCGAAATGACTTGATAAGGGCTTCAAAAACACCCAGACCCCACACTTCTCTAAAAACACTGAAATCATTCTACTTTGATTTAAGGTATTGCAGTGAATTCTGTTTCTTACAACTTGTTATTTAAGTGTTAATCTGGATTTTAATCTTCAACAACTTCAAAACTTTGAATTCCGGATGTTACCACCAGTGCTGTTGAACATCATTAACATGATCACAAAAAACACCTGAAGTTCTTGTGCTTCTGCTTCAAAAAATATTAATTTTAATGTAAATTAAAGATATCTCATTGTTCTGCATTTCCCTAAATCTTACTGCAGTTACAGTTGAATTGAAGAGTTATTAGGAATTTCATTTCATTCTGACATTATTAATAGCCACTGCTGACTCAGAGGTTGAGTCCCACAGATAGAGTCAGATAGAATTTGGTATTTGAAAATCACAACACAAAAATATGTTGGGACATTTCTCTCATTTTAATTTTATTTATTGCTTCTCACAGTACAAGCTGATTTGAGACAGTCTGTATAGAATGCTTCACTTGCACAGAGGAACAAGAAAGGGAAAAAAGCCAGCAGGGAAGAGGAGCTATTGCTTGGAAGAGAGAAAGGTGAGCAAGGAAGGTAAAGCACTAACCTTGTAACCCATTACATCAGATTCATTAGCTAGAGGTCTGACTGGCTCCCACCCAAGAGACACATGTGAGCCATCCTGTATCCACATAATATTGCCTGGTGCTTGGCTGGGAGCTGAGAAAAAAAAATAACATGTACACATATATATTTTATAGGTAGTTTCTTTAAAAACAAAAGAAAAGTATTTTAATCTTGCATTATATTTAAAACTGGTAGTGTTACCAGGCTTCCAACTCTAGATGGAACATTTAAGACTTTTTTTCATCAGTGGTGTAATTTAGTAGATGATAGAGTATTTATAGAGTATTTATTCCACCCACCCCATAAATTCCACAAAGCTTATGCACTTGAACCCTTTTCTCTCGCTTTGTACAAAAATGCCTTGTTTTCTAGGAAATTAACCTTTGCTATGAATGCAAAGTCATATGAATTCATGTCTAAACATCAAAGCAAAGCCATGAATCAAATCTCTACATGATTCCTGATTATGATACATTTTTAATAAATAAAAACCCAAGGGGGCAGAGGTTGCTCCCTGATTTCTTACTTTTAGCAAAGGTACTGAGATTACTTACGGGATTTCTTGGTTGCTGCGTGCACAGCAGTGCTAGGTGGTCCATACCCTGCAGCATTGTATGCCCTCACTGTTAGGTGATATAATGTGTTTCCTTCTAATCCTGTCAGGAGGATGGATGACTCATTTCCCTCTGTTTTGACCTTTTCAGCTGCTTCTTCCTGCTGCATGTCCTTCCAGTAACCAACCTGCCAACAAGCAACCAAACGAAGGATTAATATAGGCACCTGGCAAGCTCATGCTGCCAGATGCTTGTGCTTGTTATCCTGTGGAGGATGTTTTTGCCATTTATGCCTTTTTCTGATCATCAGATCCCTTTAAGCATATGGGATTTGCAGCTTGACCTCAAACCATGAAGTGCTCTCTTCTCCAAAATGGCAGGACTTGGAATATGGTGGTGTGACCTGAAGCACATGGAATAGCTTCTACTGGCACAAGAGGAGGTTGCTGTAAGATGGAGGAGCAGAGGGCAAACTTTGGCGGGGAGCATCCATCATTAAAGGACACCCTTCAAGGAGAACTCATCCTCTGGTAGGTCACCAGAATATCTACGTTCACCCTGGAAAACTGACTGTATCTGTTAAGAAGTGTTGTGAGCAATATTCTCTTCCTGGCCTGGTGCAACTCAGGTCCAGGAGATTTCTTATCAGTCCAATGAATAGGCAATGACAGAACAATGATGCAAATGTTTCAATCATTTGAAAAATCTTAACAGAAGAAAAAGAAGGAAATTGATTTGGTTTTAGTTCTTGGATACAAAGAGGTTCCTAGTAAATGAAGTTTTGATAGTATGTTTATGCCCTTCCTTTTCAGACATAAAATGAACGCCTAAATGATCTTTGGTGGTTCTTAATTCTTATTCTTCAACATATTTAAATTTATCATAATCTCAAAGAGGTTATAAAGCTGAGCAGAGAATTTGGCCAGTGTCCGTCCTCAAGGACCAAGCATTTTCAGGGCCTAACTGGAGAAAATGTATCTGAGTTACACAAGTAAGGGAATTCTCATGGGGCCCTATTTTGCCTAAGAGGAGATGTCAGTAACATGCCATTCAAAGACCTATACTCAGCTTACTGTTATTCATGCTGAGACCTACTTGCACTTCTTCCACATTTTGACCTTTTGTGTGAAGCTGGTTATTTCTTAATAAGTTATTTACATTGTATCAGGATAACTTTTCCTCTGAGAAAAAAGGTCACAGACAAGGCAGAACTCTTAAGAATGTCTCCCAGGAAATGGCAAAACAAAAAAACACCAAGGGGTTCACAGGAAAATAAGACCAATGAGCACAATGCTGACCTTTTATAATTGCATTAGGACTGCCATAAAAAAAAAGATCTGAAACAACCTGGTTGCAAAAATATACATTTGAGGTCCTATCTTTACTAGAGCAAAGTGTCTCTGTTAACTTTGGTTGAGGGTATGTTAGTTTGTGTCAGCCCATAGTCCACTCTTCCAACTGTAAAATTCAAGCATTTGTCTTTTGTATGTGTGCCTGCATTATCCCATGTTAAAATGCTGTTGCTTTAATTCTTAGATGAATTACAGCTCCATTCACAAGTGTAGCTGCAGTCACTTGTTCTGAAATAAGTGTGATTCACTGAGGTATTTTGCTGGATGAATACTTGACCAAAGCTAGTGATATCTGAAATAACACCTATTCAGAGTCAGTTTTCTTTTCTTGAAAAGAAAAAGGAATCAGTAACCACTTATTCACATTCTACTACTGAATCTCCAATGCTCATTATCTCTTGGGCAGTCAGATTCCTTTCATTTAACTTGTGATGCATCTTTACAAATTTGGTGCTATGATGGTGAGAACTGCACAATACTGAGCTCTGTATGAACAGGCAGTGAGAGGGACAATGTGTCCTGGAGACCGTATCATCCAGATAGTGTCGTCTGCTGAGGATCCAACAAGAAAAGGGTCAGAAAGGAAAAGTGAGCTGACTAAGCTTCCACAGGTGAAGAGTAGCAGGGGTGGAAACACAATTGAACTTTGTCTCCTTTTTCTAGAAAGCCAGGAGCAAAATTACATGTAGCTATGTTTATTCACAGGACACACCATGTCTCATATTAATGAAACGTTAATGAATTAACTATGATCTCTTTTTTAATTTTTTTTTTTTGCGGTAATGAATTCATTCATTTGTTGATGATCAAAGGAAATAAAAGAAGAAGTGGTTATAAAACAAAGAAGTTCAGGCATTATTGACTGAGGTAGATGGTATAGGGATTTACATTGACACTTGAATTGAAACAGAGATACTTCTGATGTTTAAAAGTGAGGGACATATATCTTAAAATAGAGGGTTTGTTTATTTAGACTTCTCTGCATTTGCTTTTTTAAATCTTATTTTCTGTAACCTTAATTTAAACTTCTCAGAAGAGATCAATAACACAGAACATGTTTTCATTAATATAACAATAACATAATATATATATACATGAATACATATATATAACATAAATATACTAATATTCAACAACAGTGAATATTGATAATAGCATGAAGCATAAATCACTAAAGAGTAGCCCATATCTGAAACAAAAAGGGGGAATAAAGCATTTTGTTTGTTTAATGCATTATTGTTTGTGAGGTTTTACATTTTTTCTGAAGAACTTTGTCTTGATTTTAGTCAAAAAATAGTAAACTTTGACCCTTGATTTCCAGAGACCCATCTCTTCAAGCTGGAGAGGAGCAACCTGCTTTGCTCTGATCATGGGTTGGGTAATAGTTAAAAACAAATCTTAGTAAAAACAATTTCTGACTAAAATTATTCTACCTCTGATAGTTGCAGACCACTTGGATTTTTAAGTTAAAAAATATCTTTAAATGATACTATTTTCCCTAAGTCGGTTTCTAGGTTATACAGTCTTTGTCTTAATCTGATCTAACTGCATGTCATCTTCACTAAATGCAGTAAAGTCAGAGTTATTAACTGGATATTCTTTCTGTTGATCACAGAAAATTAAAGCTACAAATAAAGCATATCAAGTAAGAGCCTAACTCAAGAAGAAGCTCTTGCTTTTTCAGGCTGTGGTTAAAATATCCATATACTCTTTCTAAGTGTACTTCACTAAATAAAAAGAAAACAAAAAATACAGTACCATGTAGGAATAATTATCTGTTCCATCATGAAAATAGATAAAATGCAGATAAGAAGCAGCAAAATATTGAGTAAATCTCTTTGAAAAGCCATAAAATGACTTTATTAAATATATAATATAATAAACCAAGTTATTATATGAAGTAATACTCTCTAAAAATGACACTCAAGGTTTTTTTCTTTTTTTTTTTGTTATTTTTAACTTTGCTTATTTGTTTGCTTCAAGTTGATCTTTTGATTGTATTAGCCAAATTCCTATCCCTCAGAGGAATTCCAGCAAAAGAGGCATGAGCTTTTTCATTTATACTTAAGTATTGGCCTTATCATTCTGGAAAAGAAAAAAGAAACCCAAAATATCTTTTCTTTCAGTCAGTAATTCTTTCTGTTTTCCTTCCTTACCAGTAGTGAACGAGAAAGAAAACATTGCCTCGGGCTCAAAAAGATTTTATAACCTTCAGCTTATAGATTCCAAACAATAGGTATGAACAACACACTGTATTTTTCCACAATTCTGACAAAGTTTTTGAGCTACTTATGCTTTATCAGACTGTAGCTGGCATATATTTAGTAAGGTCAGGCAGACAGCTGACAAACCCGTACTGAAGGCAGGAATAATATGTGCTTTGGAAGATGCAAATGAGGGCAGCAAGCCCTGCATAAAACTCAAGTGACATAACAGTTAACACTGCCTTTCAAGGATGACAACGTGAAATTGGACAAGCTCCTTTGTCTTTCATTACTCCTTAGTACGAAGTGCAAGCAGGGCCAGAGTGAAAGTGGGTCACTGTGAACTTGTCCACATTTACTAAATATTCTGTCACTTTTGTTGATTGAAGCCCAAACATCCAAGTGTTAAGAAATTAGCTGTACCTTTTATAATGCTGTTGCCAAAAGTCCAGAAATGTGAAGATTGTGTAGGAGGTTATCACTGCTATGATGACCACAGCCAGAATATGAATTGAGACATTAAAACAGAGTGGCTAGTCAGATTGTTTTGCAATCAGATTGAACTGAAGGCAACTCTTTGCTTATGGCCCACAATAATTCTACATTAGGAAATAATTAAAAAACAAAAAAGTATAAATAATTCATACTTTTATCAAAATTACTGGATTTCTGTGCATTATCTATTTGCTTTTTGTGGATTAAAGGAGTACTATAGGCTTTGTTTTGCACTGCACTGTACAAATGATGAACTTTTGAAATTAAGAGTCTTCCCAACAAGTGAAAGAGACTCTTAAGAAAGTAAGAAATATGGAAAACATAAAGCTGTTCAGTACTTCTGTGGGGTTTTTTTTTGGGCGGGTGAATTTTAGCCCCAATGTCTTCCTACACAGACTCCTTTCCTTTTTGCACAGTGGGGATGCTTTTAAGGCAAACTGTCAGTGTGTTAGGAAAATTGGGTTGATAGTGTGGACTTAGTGTACTTAAGTGACTATTACAATGCACTGACTCACTGTACTGATCCCATAAATCATTACCTCCTTCCTGATGAAATTCTTCACAAAAATGGAACTGAAAAGATCTAGCGATACCATTCTTAGAAGTTATTCTCTCCTGCTGAACTGCGCAGAAGAGCAACGTTTACTTTTATGTTTACTGAGTAAGTGCTGCTCAGATTGTAATTATTCCTGTGAAGATGGAGAAGACCAAACTACTCCATGAAAGGTTTGTCTGTCAGAAAGTGGGCAGAGGAATTCTGGCTAAATGAACAAAGACAGAAAGGGCAGGATGTGGGTGGGTAAGGTGGGGAGGAAAAAACCACCCCCATCTCCCCAGATAAAAGTAGTACTTTAAAAGGCATTACTATTTAGAAGGCTCTTCTAATTCCTTTGTGGGAGGAGGTACAAAGGAAAAGTGAATTTTGAAATGAGAAATCCATGAGAGACATATAGCTGGCAAATATTATTGTTTGGGTCAGAGTATGCCAAACTCCAAAGGTCAGAGCACTTTCCAAGTGCAGAAGACCAGCTCTGACACAAAGGAAGCCCACTGTCCTACCTGTAACAGCCATCTCTTGTTAGGACACACCTGTAGAGCTAAGGGAAGTGTTATGTGACAAGTAATCAAATGCAAAATCCATTCGCATTATGAAAGGATAAGTTTCTAGGGAAATAAATTTGAATTTCAGAAAGAAAATATACTTTTTTATTTTAAAATATGTAATGCAAAGTTAATAAAACATTTTGAGAATCATTTTGATTGAAGGAATGAGAATAAGAGTGAAAATAGTAGGTATAATTTAAAAGATGTTAAGATATCTGAGAGAAAATAACAAACCAGCCACCTTTCTGAAAAGAAAAAAGAGAGGGTGAAGCAAGTAAGTTATTTCAGATGACAAAAGACCGATCTCAAGATTGAAGTCAGGTTAGTAACAAGTGGAGCACTTCAACATGGAGAGGAATAGTATTTGTAAGATGAATATCATCTGTATCAGATACAGTTTTGTTCTCTTTATAAATATCAGGTTTAAAGGTAAAATGGTCAAATATGACTTTTGCTGTATGAAGCAAGCTATGTGCAAAAGAATAGAAACATATTTAACGTAAGGAAGAAGTGGGAGAAAAGAGCAATGAAATAACTGACAGGGGGTTAGCAGAGTTCAGAGTGCAGATGTAGATGGGAAAAAGACCTGAACAAATGCTAGACCCGAGGGGACATGCCAAAATCACAGCCCATTTGGACTGTGATAGATATTAATAGAGATGTTGCTATGCAGTATATCAACAGGCTACAGAAACAGGCAAGAAAATATTAACTGGCTGTGTTTGAGCTATGAGGCACATGTGTGGTCCTGGTCATGGCTGACAACACCTGAGAAGGTGTTGGCTCTGGTGCTGCCCAGACACCTGCATTTCCTTCCTAAGGCTATTAGTGATGGTCACCAGCCCCTGGGGAGGCCCAGGCATGCTACCAGGGAGACACCCTGTGCTAGGAGATCACAAGATATCTCTTGACACTCACATGATTGATGTCTGCCTCAGACCTACATGTTTACCCTTTTTGCAGTGTTACTGTAGAAAATCAGGAATGAGTCAGCACTAAAGGTCTAAAGCAGGACAAATAACCTGCATCCCAAAATCAGTTAATTTAGTTTGGCTGGACTATTTAATGAGGATCAGCACAGCCTGATCCACAAGGTCGCGGGGGTTGTGGTGGTGGCCCAAAAGAATAGACAGGTATACTGCTAGATCTATCTGTTCCTGGAGGTTTGGATTGCAAACTGTATCCAAAAGTGCAAGGAGGTCCCTTGCCAGGGCTGGTTCACTCTCCCAAGACAGGAAGGGCTGTCTCTAAGCAGAGTTTTATTTATGGACTGTGCAGCTGCTGCTTCCCTCTTGCCATCCTGTTGTTCCGGTCTGCCCAGCAGATGTCCCTCGGTCTCTGTGGGATGAGAGCACACGGATGCAGAGGCTCTCTCTTTTCTCTGTGCTGGTTGCTGTCAGTAAATAACAAGTTGGAACTGGTCGCTTAGAGCTGGAAACAGTCAATACCTAATTTTCCCCAGCCTGTGAATGATGCATGCTGGGTCACTTGCAGTTCTTTCAGCTCTTTTTGAAGTGACAAAGAGATGTTATAAGAACTGGTGTTGAACAGTTTTCAAGCACAAATAAATAAAAAATGTTCTGGTGCTACAGCTGTGACTGCTGTTCCACAGCTAGTGGTATGTATGCTAAAATGAGCATAATTCCTATTGAAGTTTCACTAGTGCACATGTTAACAGAATGCAACACTCGCAAAAGCAACAAGACTTCTCATTATGATATTCTGTGTTCATACCTCGAATCCCTGTGGTCTTCCTAGACTTTCTTTAATATGTTTCCACGCAACAAGAATCTCTGATACAGACAAACTCGTAGCTTTGACATCGATGGGAGCAGCAGTGGGTTCTGTATTAAGAAAAATTGAAACAATAAACCTCCACTGTAACAGCTTGTATTTATCAAAAACACTCGGTCTGAAACTGTCATTTACTTCCTTTATTCTACCTTAATACTCACAAGAAGGCATGACACTTAGGGGGAACATGAAAAGCTGAACAAGATGAAGAGATTATTATTGTTGTATTTCTTTAGTTGTGTCATGCTACATCAATATCTCATCACTGATGACGGTTGCAGCAAACTGTGAAAGAATCTCTTGTCTGTGATTTTTTTAAAAAAAGCTTTAATATTTGTATATGTGTCCCCTGCCTCCACACACCCCTTTCACAGCCGTAACTGCAGCAGTAAATGGAGCATTCATTCTATTTGTGGCTTCTTAGTGCCATTCTGCCAGCTCAGGGTGAGCAATTCCTTGCTGAGGTGCTCACTCAGTCCTGCTCTGGGGCAATACTGAGTAGGAAGTGATACCCAGGGCTGTAGTGAAATGCTATGTGAAAAACTTTTTTAGGACTATGTTATCATCGAAGTCACAGGTGCCAGTGTTTGGGATGTGCCACCTTCTCTCTGCTGTGAAGCATTTACTGTTTTAGGCCTGGGGTGCACATTTTTATAAAGGCACCAAGAGTTAAGGTTTGTCCCTCCAATTAGATGTGTTTGTTACGATTGGCTCTCTGTCTGTGTTTCTAGCTCTGTGCCATTCATAAGACACTCACTCTGCAGTCCTGACCTCCTGATTATCTGGAACAGAGGAGCCTTCCTGCCCTCCAGCATGGCAGGGTGTCCTTTGGTGACACTGGGACGTGGCTAGGATGCTCACCAAAGGCTGTAGGATGCTTTACATGCTTTACATGTGGCTTTACATGCCACACTTGCCCAACAGTGTTGTGCCTCTGTACTTTCACATCAATGAAGGCTTTATAGAGGACCAGCTTCTTTCAGTGGCTGGGAAGTTGAGTAAATGTCCCAAGATATTTTCCATGACAGGCCACTGAGCACCCCACCACTCAGCTGTGTTACCTGTGACAGTACACTGGGAGCAACAAGTATCCAAAAATTGTCTTGTATGAAACAGGGACATGAGTCAAGGAAATTTGGTATGTCTTCTGCTTTATTACCTAAATATGACTGAAAACTTTCTAAAAGACAGGCTGTGGAGGCAAGGCTTCTACATATACTGTGCAGTACACAAAAGGGCATTTCTCCACTTCTCTGGTGTAGTTCACTTACACGGCAAAAATGTGCATTCACATTCCCCTTTAGTCATGGAACTTGTGATTTCTTTCTTGGCCTAACATTCCTCATTACATTTCTAATGTATTGATCTGTTCCTGAAAGGCAGGCAGAAGTCTTGGTTTTATGTCATAGGGAGACACATCAAAGAGCTTTCTGAAAAATGGGGTTTGGGGACTTGTTTAACAGGGTTACAGAAAAGGAGTTTCCTTCCAGAACAGCCTGACATAAAATAATATATTTTTCTTAGTGATCAGACCAGCTAATATGTAAGATACCTAATATCAGTGTTAACTCATTAGCTACCCTCCTTTCTCTGCAGGTGGTGTTGGCACTGTTGCCCACAAATATTTTTGACATGACTCATATAAATTTTTCATCCTTTTTGATGTCAGACTTTTAATGTTTGTTACTCTTTTTTTGATCTCTTTTTTGATTTGCATCTGAGGAAAAGAAATAATTCTGATGTGATACAAAGTGGTGTTTGCCAACAATGAGTATTACTAGTAAGTATGAAATATGTTTGAAACTTTTTAGGTAATAAAGAATAAAAAAAAAAGTATGTTCAGGAACAAGAGAAATGATGTTTTGAATTCAATACTGAAAGAATTGCATTATGAAGAAATATATTGCTCATAATATGATTTTCTGTTCAACGGTTACATCAGGTTTTCTATTTTATGTACTGCTAAGATTTGTGTGGAAAAAGCTATTTTCTAGTTTTTGTATTATTGAAGCAATTACCTTGTTGTCAGAAAAGATTGCAGTGGGATAAATAATTTGAGATGTACACAAAATGTTGTTTGGCAGACTTTACATTTTCTATAAATGCAGGTATCATTTCCTCTTCATAGCATTCACTAGGAGTGGTTTATACATTGCTTGAATAGAAACATAGAATATTTTCTGATATTTTTTTAAAATTGTTTTCAACAAACGGAGCAGAAATAGTTTAGATTTTTTTTATGTGAAGAAAATGGATTTCTCACATATTCAGAAATAATTCACTGCAGTTTCACTGATATTAGGCACTGAGAATGGTGTTCAGCAAAACAACAAAAATCATATATTTGGGAATAACATATAAGGGTCTGAAAGTTTTTGGAGACTAAATAGCATTTTTTATTGATTCAGATATGATGAGGACCATATAATTTCTGGTGATATAATACAGTCTGTGGTTCACTCCAATGTCATGCTTTATTCTCTGTGTCTAAAACTAATGATAAGTTTGATAGGTTCATTAGCTTTTTCTATTATGGCCATGGATGTTATAATCATACTATTTCCTTCAGATCTTGTTATTATGCTAAACTTATAGGTGTCTGCCTAAGGTCATACTTCCTGAGAAAAGAAGAAAGGCCATCTTTAATATTCCCTGTTTAAATTAAAGATGCAGTACAACAAGTTCTCATAAGCCTGTGTGCAATGTCCATGGAACACTGTCTTTCCCTCGCTCTGCAAACATATTTTAAAGAAACATGATCAATATGTAGGTCTTTGGGATAGCTGTAAAATGGCAGGACATTTTTCTTTGCTAATGTTCAGAGAGGAAATCCTGAATTTTGACACTGGAAAGTAAAGAAAAGGATCACTTGCTAGTGTGCTGTACCTGTTTATGACTTTAAGCTGATCTGTTTTCCTGAAATATTCATCCTTAAGGATTTCCACATGATCTACTTTAAAAAACAAGTCCAAGAGCTTACTCAAATTTATGTTGTTTTAATTCTTCTATGGAACAGGCCCTCAGTCAGGACTACTCAACCAATCAGTTTATATCTATTCAGTTCTTATTTTGATTCCAAAAAGGATTTTTACAAAGTAGTCTTACTCAAAAGTTGAGCTCTTATTTGCAGCTAAGAACCCCAGTCTGAGAAATTGCATTATGACTGCAGGCAGTTCTTCATAGCTGAGATTTTGGGATTTCAGCCAGCGTCTATTTCTGTGATAATGCCTCTCCGTGGGAAAATCCACAAGAGATACATCAGAAGAAAAATCAGGAAAATTCATCCCTCTTGTGTCAACCTGTAGGTAGAGAAAGTAGTAGCATTTGCTTCCCTGCTAGAAATAGCCACATGGACTATCTTCCAAATCAGAGAACCTTCAGTGAATTTTTCCATTCCTGAGAAGTGGAAGGCACCACCAGATCTGCAGTGAAATGTCTGTCTGAAGGATACAGAACTTTCTCCAGAATCTTGTGCTCAAAAGGAAAAAAAAATATCCATTTTCCACAACAGCAGAAACAAGTTTAGTGTTTCCTGGCCAGGCCTTCGGAATTCTCACTTTTCTACAAGTCCTTTCTATTTTCACCTTGTCCCAGACTAGTGTCCTTGCAGAAGACTTTGAAACAGAGAAAAATTAGAAGAGTATTGGAATGAGCTATAAGTGAAGACCTCCGAATATTTTTGATTTAGTGCTGAAACACTCTTACTTGTCGGGTAGAACTCCTGAAGCCTTTTCCTGTAACGATGTTCTCCTGCACACTTTCTCACAGTGTATACCCTGCTGTGGCTCTCCCTTCCCTATGGAATAACTCAGATTTATTACACAGCAGACTGTCACCTGGCAATAAGGAGCTGCCTTATTCCATGAAGAATTTACCAGAGGAGGGTTGCCATCTTCATGAACACAAATGGTTCATTTCCATCAAGCTTCGAGGCAGACAGGGTTACCCTCATCACGGGAAGAGGGGATGTGCCCATTATATTGGTTGCACTTTTTCTTCCCGTGGGGCTAGTGCCATTGATCAGAGGAGTGCTTAATAAACTCCCGCATGTCAGGATTGCGATTTCATTCCTTAAAAAATCATTGGAGACAGCTCTAGCTGAGCTTTCACAGCATCTCTCTAGACAGATCATCTTGCAGAATCAGGAAATAACCCTCTGTAGTTTACAGCTAATCTGCCAATTAGTTTTCAGGTTCACCTAAACACCAAGTAGCTCAGCTTTAGCTATAAAATGAATCACAGGACTTCACAACTTTAAGATTTTCATTAAAGACATTGAGGCTGTATTCAAAGGTGTGCAATTGCATATTATTTACTCCCAATGAAAAGAAAATAGTAAATTATTAGTTTGAATATGGAGAAACAAAATTACAATGGCTTTTGCATGGTCCTTTGCCTTTCAGATAATGGAGAGCTTTGGATCTCTACTGGCTTAATGAATTACCACAAATCCATACAAAGCATGAACAAAAGCTCTGTGCAGTATCATTGCATCTTGTATGTATTACAGAAGTGCATCTGAGGTCCCTCAGGAGGTTTTAAACAGTGAGTGTGAGTCTTTAGCCTGTATATCTAAGGGCTTTCTATTTCCTATATAGAAGTCTTTAGTAGTATTCACTACTCCATTTATCAAAATTGTTGTGAATATAATTCTGTCAATACTTGACAGAGAAATAAGATACTGAAATGAACAGAACTGATCCTGTATCACCCACTATGACAATCACTAACAAAAAACCCCTTTATAAAAGACCTAACTCATCTTGAAACCAGTTGGGTTCCTGGAAACTTGTTTCTACTTCCTTTAGTATTCTCATCTATTTCCATACTGTAGAGTACTCTAATTCATATTTATCCTTGTGCTTTTAGGCTGCATCTATACTTGTAAACTAAATAGGGACAGAGAGACAAGGCACCTTGCCTGAGCATGGACACACAACTATCTGTAGCATTAAAATGCTGGCATCACCTGTACTGACTCTGGGTAATTTGTGCTGCCCCAGGGTGGGACAGTTTTATCAGAGCAATGCTCTGATGAAAATTAAAACAT